AAGAGGTTCTCAAAAAGATTTGGCATCAGATAAAGTATCTGAAAATCTGAATATTTAAATTTTCAACGCTAGTTTCCTGATCTTATAGTCTCTTTCCAGAGAATTTGGAGTAGGACCATTCATAATCAAGGCTGGACAGCAACATCTCTTCAGCAGTGTGCAAATATATGAAGGCCAGACCAAACCTAGAGTTCAGATGTATTGGTGCCATGAATTTTAGTATATGTTCTCAGTTAAGGAAACATTCAGTCAGATAATTTGTTGGTCAGCACATCCTAAATTTTATTCAATTAATTAATTCAAATTTTTATAAATGATAAAATAGGTATCAGGTTTTAGCTGGGAACTTCATTCTTTAACAAAGGTATCAAAATGCTATCTTTAATGTCCTTAATTCCTAATTTTTATGGACTGTCAAAAAGTAACACGCTACATGAATGTGTGTGTGGGTGTAAGCCTCTAACTCATTCATGATCAACAGCAACCTCTCTCTGTAATATAATAGAACAGTAAAAAACAATATTTCTCTAATAGATCTTAATATTGGTTTTCAGTAAAAACAAATGACAATTAGATTATAATTCTCCCCTGCATGGGAACAAACATACTCATATTGTAATAAAACAGAGGGCAACTTGTAAGTAAAAAAATTACATGCAACAAAATTTAATTTCTTAGATTTTTCTAGGGAACAAAAACAAATTTCTTTTCAGTATGTCTGGCGCAACCCTCCACCCAACACACACACATACACATATTCACAGAAATATAGATATGACATTTAATGATTTGGATTTGCCTGAGTTCTGAGAACATTTTGAGAACCTATTTTGACTTAAGTACAATGTTTGTAAAGTGATTCCTCAGTTCAAAAACAGTTGCAAAAGAATTTGAAACATGAGGTGGGGGAAATAATTGAATAATGGTTTTGACATTTTAAAAAATATATAACTTTCAGATGTGAAAATTTGGTGACTTTTTAAATATAGAAATACATTAACATTTTTTCCATTTATTTATTTTCTAATTTTCCAAAAGGCAAGTGTACTCTCAAGAGAGAAACAGAGACAGAGAGTGAGAAAACACTTTCTGGGCATGCACACACACACTCGGCATTTTTATCAAGCAACTATGTATGAGTCTTGAACCACATAGTCAGCCATGTGAGATCCAGCTGCCTAACCACCAGACAATGGACTGTCCCAATATATATTTATATTTTTAAACACATACCCCCCACACACAGACACACACACACACATATACACGTCCACCATGGTTTGGTTCTGTTGAAATATGACACACATTTGCCATATCAACTGTTGTGGGGTAATATTATATAAAAATGGAGATATGGGAATGTAAAATATTTCTCTAGTAGTTGGTAGCAAGTGCTTATGTACAATAGTAATCATTAAATACAGCGATTTTTAAAATAATTACTTAACATTTTTCTTTTTCTTTTAATAGCCAAAAAGTAAACTTGGGGACATATGATAATTACATTCCAGATAAGAAAGAGTTTAAAATAATTATAAAAAGTACATGAGCACTTTTAGGGGAAAGTTAATTATACTCCATTTAAAGTTATTATATATAAAAAAAAAAACTGCCACAGAATAAAATTACTTATCAACATTTTATTTGCCAAGGAACCTTCCTCATGGGTTAAGTAAATACCATAAACATAAACTTCATTTTAGGAGCCAGCAGGTGATGTGGTGGTTAAGGTGTTGGACTCCAACATGCCAAATGATGTTCAAGTCCTGGACCCAGTGGTTTGAAAATCATGCCAGGTACACGTGCATGCATGTACAAAATCATGAGAGGAGAATGAGGAGAAGGGATTGTGGGATGGCCATTTTTCCTGGGGAGTGATTTCTCATTTTCCTTCTTGCTGTATCTCTCTGGTGAGCACATGTGTCCTATGACACAAAATATTTATATTTATGTTATTTATATTTATATATTTATATTTATATATAAAATATATGAAATGTATGTGTTTATATGTGTATACACACACACACATATATATATTTAATTTTAAATCTAGAGTATATTTGGAAAATATGTTAATTAACCTAAATTTGGACATATTAACAATTTAGAAATTATATAATCAGATAATGTTGCAGTTTAAAAGCAATGTAATACTTGGATAAACAACTTTTCATCTGCATCAGTAATCCCTTCTATTGGGACCAACAAATGGCTTAATGGTTACATCTCTCACTCCCACATAGTCAACTGCAGTTTGATTCCTGGACCCAGCAACTTAAAATTCAGGCTGGGTGCATGAACATGGGTGCCTGAAATCCTGAGAGGAGAATGGAGGAGAAGAGATTGTGATGTTGCCATCCCCTGTGGAGAAGGGGGTCATTTCTCACTTTCTGTCTCTCTGGCAAGTGCATACAGCCAGTAGCAAAAATCTCTCAAAAAAAAAAAAAAAAAAGAAAGAAAAGAAAAAAGAAACCCCTTCTATACTTCTATTGCATTCCTGATTGATTGTATCTGGCTTATAACTGGCCAAATATTGTATTACTAGGCAAAGCAAATCTATCTGATACTGAAAGATTTTACTTATCAAGTGTTTTTTCCCCTTGTTAAATAAGCTTTGATATGCTTTTCATTCTTTAATTTCCCCATGGACTCTGATACTGTCTTTAAGAGACACATGAAAAGTCTTTTTTTTTTTTCCCCACTCTCTAATTAAAACACTGTTTGTGTATTTTATCTCATTTTTTTATGAATGAGAGACAATCCCTCTAACAGAATATTGATACATTGACACACCTTCAACCTTCAGCCAACATGAGAGCATGCACATATTTGTGTCCAGTGAATTAAGAGATGTCTCCATATTTGAACTGAGAACCTTCTCTTGTGGGATTGAATTGCAGTGTGGAATTTTACCCCTGTGCCACAGTCTGTATGCAATTTTCTCTTACACATAATAATACCGTAAATATTTAAATACTTGTACAATGATTGTACATCCTCACTGGCCTGACTGGTAAGTTAAATATTCATATTCATTTTTATTATAGTTTCTAGGTAACTTCACCTCTCCATTCATCATTCTGTAGACTTTTACCAATTTTCTTCATTAAACATGCTACTTATTACAATGCAGTTTTTGGGTGTATAGCAGTTACTCTCATAGCTTGAGACATGATTACTAACTAAGGGAATGATAAATCTTGATGCTTAGATTCAATCACACATTCACTGAATATTTTAGGCCCAGCATTGTGCTATGTACTTTGGAGGCTAAAGAAGTAGATAACATATTTCTTGTTCTCAGTAGTCTCATATTCTAATAAAAAAAAAAAAACATAAAGCAAATACTTAGACTGAAAGAGACAGGAATATTTACAAGGAAGCTGTGGAACTGTTTCTTCCCCTTTATACTATAGATTATATTAGTTTCACAAAGCCCACTTTATGTAATGATATGTAAAATAGATCAAAATAGAAAAAACAACTACTTAGTTTATGTTTTTGTTTTTGTTTTTGTTTTTGTTTTCCATGATAGGGAACATGTGTACATGCCCGAGAGAGACTTAAAGAGAAAAGCTCCCTTGATGGGGTCTTGTACATTGTGTTCCTGTCCCCGGCCTTCCAACTTGTCAGGATGTTGGGCACAAGTGCATATGCTCTTATGCTTTCAGTGTTGTCTGTGGACAGGAACCCGTGGTCATCTGAGTGGCTTTCAGCATTATGTTCAGTTGTCTACTGACTGTGCCTCCAGATTAAGCCCAAAGAAAATCAATTTTATTTTCTAATAATGATAACAGACGATTGCAAACATTACCAAATAAATGAAGCCAGAATTTGAATCATTTGTTTATTTGTTCAGATGATAATGTGTTGCACTTACCTTCTATTTTAGCACTAATGGAATTCTATTTACTCCCAAATGTATGTTTTATCTGTTTTATTTTAGTCAGTGAATTAAGTAAAAAATCATGGAATCAACAACACTTTTCCCTGGCATTTCCCAAACCACCACGGCCAGGAAAAAAAAGGAGATCAAAACCTTCTCAACTGAGAGACAACACAACACCTGTAAGTACTGAATAAGATATATTGTTATAAATAACAACTAAATTTAGTCAAACAATTGTAGCTATTATTAATATATGATTATTACTAATAAGTAATTAATAAGAAACAGTAACTAATTAATAAGTAATTACTTATTACTAATAAACTTTTGAAATCATGTACAGTCATACTCTAATGTTATGGTTAGTATGTATATTCAAGAAATGTATGCCAGTCAGAGAGACTGGCTTGCTAGAATCATGAAATTACATTATACCTACTGAAATTTCACTGCTTCCTCAGTTACTGTAAAACAGAATTCAGGATTCTGAGTATTAGAAGATAAATACTTCCCAAGGAATTACCACAGGATATAAAAGTGTCCAAAGAAAAGTTTTCACAAAATGAATGCATCATCAACTCTTGCTTATTTTAGGAATTAAATCCTGTAAGTAGTCATCAACATTCTTTTCTTTCCTTTTTCAATTCATTTTTTTGAATCTTTGTTAACATTTCTATAAAAGATATCTATTTTGCTTTTACAAATATTTTATTAGGAGTTAACAACAAAATTCACCATTCTCCTCAAATCACCCTATACTTAATGTTACAGATTTCATTATTTTAGTTACCTATCTGGCAATATTCAATTTATATCCTGCCAAGAAAGAAGAGTTTTATATTTCTACCTTTAACTATTCTAATTTCCAGAAACCTTGAAAGTGACAATAGGTGGGACTGGCAGGTGGAGTAGTAGTTAAGGGGGCTGGACTCCCACATGGTTTACCACGGCTCAAGTCCAGAACCTGGCAGCTTGTTTTCTCACTTTCCCTCTTCTCTCCCTCTGTCTCTTTCTGGTCAAATTGAAAATGGCAATAATAAATAAAGTTAATAAAATATTTTTTTAAAGTGACAATAGAGATCAGTATATGCTGAGCCTAGACCTACCAGAACTTAGAGAATAACTATCAATATTTCCTGACTAAGTCTAGAAATGGAAGGTAGGCAAAATAGTCCAAGAATTCTTAAAAACACAGAGGACAATGAATAATAAACAAAGAAGACTCCTGATCATAAAGAGTTTCTGACATACCATGGGACAAAGGAAGTTCCTATCAATATTAATATAGTATTGTAAGAAATGTATAAACATACCCTAAACTGAATGTAAACCATAATTGAGGCATGACTCCCTATTAGTGAAACAAAAGGAGAAAATTAAAAAGCAGAGTAACTACTAAATTCATAATATATTCACTCTTTATCAAAACCTTAAGTCTTCATAGTTGAAATTAAAGATTAAATTTGTTCTCTGATAATAAAGACATGTAAATCACCCGCAAGTTGCTCATAATTATTTTAATTGATTTTTCAGATAATTGATGAAGAAAAACTAAGAGGAGGTCATAAACAGCCATTATGGATGCACCGTTCTTTAATGAGAATTTCTGAGCGACCATCTGTTTATTTAGCTGCCAGGAGGAAACCTCCACCAAAACCAACTCCTTCTGCCACGATGATACCTAAAGAAGCAGAAATAGGTAAGAAAGGTAAAGAAGCCCAAGATAAAGAGACAGACAAATCAGAATCAGAATCAGAATTAAAAGTTAAGAAAGACAAAGAAACTAAAGATGAAAAAGGCATTGCAAGAACAGAGTCAAGAAAAAGTAAAAAAGGTTCTAAGAAAGGTGAGGGTTCAGGGACAGAATCTGAAGGTGAAAAAGCAGATTCCAAGAAAGGTGACAAAAAGGGTAAAAAAGATTCCAAGAAAGGCAAAGATTCTGCTTCAGAATCTGAAGGCGAAAAAGCAGATTCCAAGAAAGGTGACAAAAAGGGTAAAAAAGATTCCAAGAAAGGCAAAGATTCAGCTACAGAATCTGAAGGCGAAAAAGCAGGTGCTAAGAAAGATGACAAAAAGGATAAAAAAGGTTCAAAGAAAGGCAAAGACTCAGCTCCTGCATCTGAAGATGAAAAAGCAGGTGCTAAGAAAGATGACAAAAAGGGTAAAAAAGGTGCAAAGGGTAAAGATAAAGATGCGGGTTCAGAATCTGAGGCCGAAAAACCAGAGGGAAAGAAAGGTGATGAAGCAAAGGATGCCAAGAAAGGATCAAAGAAAGACACTAAAAAAGGTAAGAAAGATGAAAAGAAAGCCGGTGCTGAAGACAGTGAAACAAAGGATGATGCCAAAAAAGATGCCAAGAAAGAGGGCAAGAAAGGGGCAAAGAAAGATTCCAAAAAAGATGCTGGCCCAGAATCTGGTGAAGCAAAGAAGGATGCAAAGAAGGATGCAAAGAAAGATGCAAAGAAAGATGCAAAAAAGGCCAAGTAGGCCTTCAATAATGACTCACACTAAAAGAGTAATTCAAAAGCATATTTGATGAAACAATTTTAGTAGTCTGTATCTGAATCTATGAATGAGAACAAAGTTTCAAACATTACTCAAAGACATTTTAAAAGTAGACAAGAATACAGAGGAAGACTTGGAAAATATTAACTAAAATACAAGAAAAAATGTTAAGAAAAATTAAGGGAGGATCTATTGAAGGACATGGAGAACACTTGTGTTAAATTTGAAGGACATAAAAGACTCAATGAAAGATTCCTAGAAGCACTCAAAAGATAACATGAAAATTAGGACTTAGAAGGTAATGACAGTGGATTTACGGATTTAAAAAAAAATTAATGAAGCCTTAAAGAATACAAGGGAGTAGATGTAACTTTAATTTGAAAAAAAATCGCAAGCCGCATCCATAGATTTAGATAATAGTAGTAATCATGAAAAAGGAAACATCTTTCAGAAAGTCTACTTTTAAGTAAATAAAATTAAAGATAGCTTTCCTTAATAATAGAAAAAGAAAGAAGAAAGAGAAAGAAGAAAGAAAGAAAGAGAGAGAGAAAGAAAGGAAGAGAGAGAGAGAGAAAGAAAGGAAGAAAGAGAGAGAGAGAGTAAGGAAGAAAAGGAAATATTATTTCCCTTACACCATCATCTCTGAAGTTTAAACATGTTTAAGCACCACCATGATTATGGTTGTTGAATGTTCCTCTTCAGGCCAATCAAAACACACTTTGGTAAGTTAGTTCTGTTTTATTTTAAGACAAATTGCCTCAAAAATAATTGAATCAACTTAAAGGTTTAAATTGACACTTACAGTTCTTGTAATCTCTCTTCAATTTACTGATTAGGTTTTTACTAGAATTTTTTCAAGTTTAGGTTTTCTCATTATATATGAAGTACATAGAAAGACTCCCATGTGAATGGAACTTTTAAAAAACATCTATGAAATGCATACTTTTTATCCATTTCTTTTCTTACCTTTTTTAGGATGAAAAAAGCAGAGAAGTGGAGCTATTTGTCTTAGAGAACTCTAGCTTATAATATATGATAATTATAACAATATTCAAAGGCTTTTAGAACAGAAAATAGTAGTCAACTTCTCTCCTTTTAAAAAAGGCTAAAACCAAAAAAATGTCCAAATTGCCAACAAATGTGAATGAGCCATATGAAAGACCTTCTTGAAAAAAATTTGCTAAAAGCCTATAAAAAGATAAATTAACCAAGATTTAACAGTGTAACAAAGTAAAACTATTTGATATTATTTCTATGTGGAAACAACTTTATATATATATATATTTTCCTTAGGTTTTGCTACAGGGTTTGTGTGTAAACCAGAGAGAGACAAAGAGAGACAGAAAGAAGGAAAATGAGAAATCACCCTCCAGGGAGAATGGCCATTACTCAATCCCTTCTCCTTCATTCTCCCTCAGGATTTTGGGCATGTACACACATGTACCTGGTGTGATTTTTAGGCCACTTAGTCTGGGATTTGAATTGCAGTAGATCATGTGGGAGTCCAGTGCTTTAACCACACTATCTGCTGGCTCCAAACTTCATATACGTACAACTGTTTTAAATTCTATTGTGACCCACAACTTCTATTAATAGGAGGGAAAATTTTTAAATGTATAAAGCAAAATGCAATACTCTTAGACTTATCAATTAGTAACAACTTACTCTTTGTTGTTGTTATGGGGCATGGAGGCTTATTATAGAGAGAGAGAAAAAAAAAAAAGTGAAAAGGCAAGATCCTGCAAGGGGATGGCCACACCACAGTCCCTTTTCCTCCTTTCTATGTACATGCACCAGACATGTGTGCCCAAAACATTCTCTCTCAGATAAACTCAACAATGTTGTAGTACTTGATAGATGATTTTCTCTAACCTTTATCTGTCATAATATAAACTCGGGGTGCAAGATAAAGCTTTTGCTTCATATTAAAAGGAAGGACTTTTATTCTATGTACTCTCAAGAGCTAGCTTCTTTTGAAAAGTCTCTATTTAGCCTGATCAATAAATATTGACTCCTGTCTTTCCTGTATTAAATACCAAGGATTAATGGCAAGAGGAACTCATGGTCCATCCACCTTGCTAATCTGGAGCCACCATCATGGCGGAGTGAAATACTGTTTCTCTAACTCTGCACTAGCTTCTCCAGAAATTTCATAATTTTTGCTCTATTTATTGTAAAAGCCTGCTCAGATTTTTAAAATTTTTCTGAAAGTGTTAACATCTCTCTGAAGACTTAGAGATTAATTTTGAATTCATTTTCCCCTCAAAATAGGAAACAATATTATTTTTTGCCCAAGAGATTTAAAAGTCTTGTTTTAGATTTAAACTTAATGTACAGTGACAGAATACTGACCATGTGACTTTACCTTTCTACTGAAATGTACCAAGGTCAACAAAATCCTCCATGAATCAAATCTAATACCCAACGAGTGCCTTTTTATCCTAGCACCTTTTCTGTTTTATCTACATTATCTACATTATTTATTCCATCTATTCTCATGACGTTATATAACATTTTTACATTGCTGAATTCTATATTTAAACCCAGTATGGACTCCACTGGTTTCAAATTCGTGTATCCAAATATTTAATTAAGGTCTTTACTTGACTGTCTTCCAGTCATCTCAAAATTAACATGCCCTGAAGAGAACGCTTGATTATCACTCCATCGAAGTCTATTTCTCTCCCAGTCTTCAACTACTGAGTAAATGGCACTGGTATCTGAACCGTGACTTAATCCAAAATTGGTGAGTCATCCCTAATTATTCCTACTTCTCTTCCAAAATAAATACTCAAATAAGTCTGCTTCACTACATTTCAAATGCTTCCACACTGAAAGTTCAATTAAACATTACTTCTCACATGGAAAGCCCAACACTCTGTCCCCTACTTGATCACTCACCACACTCCACATTTCATTTTACACACAGAAACCATCATGATCCATTGAACAAAACTTTCTAGTGTATTGATGCCACCTTTAATATAAACTTTTCTTTTGTTCTGATTTATAAAGCTCCTTATGACCTAATAACTATTTCTCTGCCCTCAAGTGGTACCACTATTCCTTTTTTCTGCAATGTTCTTGTTACAGGATTTCTTTCTGTATTTAGCATGACCATACACCTTCACACTTGTCAACTCTACTAGAACACAGTTCTCTTAGAATTTCATATTGCCAAATCTTCCAAACAATTCATTTTCAGCTCACATTTTGCATATTTGAACACTCATTTTAATTGCCACAGGATGTACACATTCACCAGAGAGAGAGAGAGAGAGAGAGAGAGACAGGGAGAAAGCACCTCCCGGTGGGGCACTGCCACACTACAATCTCTTCTTCTTCATTTCTTAATTCGGTTGGGATTTGGGGCATGCATGGACATGTGTTCAGTATGCTTTTCAAGCCCAAGGCAGAGACTTGAACTGTAGTTGGCTGTCTGAGATCAGCTCTCTTAACCACTAGGCCATAGGACCTGCCCTGGACATTTTTTAAAAGATTTGTTTTTAGAGAAGTTTAAATTCATAATAAAATTAAGCAGAAAGTATTCCTCACAGGGTCTTCACACAAGAATTTACCACCAGCTTGTGCTAGCCTCAGATCAAGGGCACATGCATGCCTAGAATATTCAGGGAGGTCTCCAAATGCAAATCTGGAACCTACCCATGTGATCAGCCTCACAGAACATGGCATTTGACTGCTGAAC